ACGTATGACATACATAATATGTGCATCATGAAACTGAATTCATTATGCACGTATACCGTTGATAGACGTTGGCTTGTGCGAGCGTTATATTCGCCTATTTACCGTATGCTGTGCATTATACGGCAACTTGCCCGATGACGTGTTGTATCCGTGAGCATTGTTCCCTTTCTTTTTTTTACATCTTCTTCTCTTCCATACTAATGTACCGAAGCCAAGCATTTTAATCGCCTGTGCATTGCAGCTAAATGTTAGGAGAGCTTCGAAAAACTGCTCGATGCAGTTTTATAATTTTATTCATCGGTCAAGTTGAAACGGGAATGCCGTGCAAGTGCACCGGTGCGCAGAGAAACGCGCTTATTTCAGAAGTAATCAGGAATTTGCTTCGATCAACTACTACAAGCCATGTGTCTCGTATTCGGCTCATCTACAATAGCTTGCCTGGCGAAAATTGAGGATTTTAGATTAGTGTTATCTGATATCTTTATCGCTGCAGGATATACACATACGCGTGATAAAGTAATCACAATTGAATTTTCAAGTGTTCAAGAGAGAAAGGAAAGTAACAGGCATGCGGTTTGAGCGAAAGATTACTCTCTTACGTTCAGAGATGAGAGAGACGTTCGATGCCTCGTGACATTTGATCCAGCGTAAACGCTTTCCACCGCCGTTGATATTTGATGACACGGATATCGTCATCGATTTCCAAAATTAATCGAACCTATGCTCGTAATTTCTTCCTCATCATTCTTTCGTCGAGGGCCATTTCCAGTATTTTTGAGAACGATTCTTGAACGATATAATTAGTACGTCTATCGTATAATGACGTAATGAGTAATTAGTGTTTGCCAATCCACTACTCATTGTATCCTGAGAAACGCGGAACTGACCAGGCACAAAAGTGCCGCGTTTTAGCCTTGGCCGAAAAGTTGCCGAGGAGTTTGGCAAACGAGAGGCCATACGTCATTAAGGATGGGAGATTGCTCGCATGATTCTGCTCTTAAAACTTGGAGGTCGGACTTACGTCATTGTGAAAAAAATAATCAGCTATATATACGAACAGGCTGTTCGCATGTGTTCTCCTTCTTTCCTGTTGGAAATCACTCTACGATGGTTGCCGATTAATATCGTCTTGGATATCCAGTAAAAATAGAAACGACGTTCTTCTAACACTAAACGTACCAAGTCAAATGACCCCTTTTCAAACTTTACTTTAAATAAAAATATATGTTTGAG